GAAAGACTTTAAGACTAGATGGTATTCTGATATAGGTTTGGAAGTCCATTGGGGAGATTGGCATTGACTGGCTAACCAAGCTATTCAACAAGGTGTAAAGAACAAAAAAAAATGCCAGACAAATGGAGGAAAAGTATTATAGTACATATTTACAAGAACAAATGAGACATACAGAATTGTGTGAACTATCAAGGGATCAAACTTATAAGCCACACTATGAAGTTGTAGGAGAAAGTGATTGAGCAACGACAAAGACATGAAATGAGTGCATCAGAAAACCAATTTGGTTTTATGCCAGGGAGGTCAACAATTGAAGCTATTTTCCTACTTAGACAACTAATTGAGAAGTTTAGGGCGAAGGGAAAAGACTCCACATGGACCTTATTGATCTAGAGAAAGCTCATGATAGAATATGTTGAGATTTAATTTGGTGGGTATTGGAAAAGTAATAAGTCTCCAAATACCATATCGACTTGGGGAGAGATATGGACGAAGGAACCCTAACAAGTGTGCAAACAATTAGTGAAGAGACAAATGAGTTTTCAGTAATAATAGGTTTGCATCAGGGATCAGCGTGGAGCCCATACCTCTTTGTCTTAGTTATGGACGACTTAACTAAGCACCTACAAGATGAGGTACCGTGATGTATTCTATTCGCAGACAACATAGTTTTGATCGATGAGACCCGACATGGCGTCAACCAATGTTCAAAAGTCCCCCGCCTGACCGCCTAGGCGAAAAAAATGAAAAAACGACTAAGCGGTGGCTAGACGGGACTCTAAGGTGTCTTGTGTCTAGGCGCCCGCCTAAGCGAGTAAGGCGTCGCCTAGGCACTACAGCCAGGTCGCCCGCCTAGCTACTTTCCCACGACAACTTGAAAAATAGTCGGAAAAGGATCTCAACAGATCAAAAAAGGTCATTTTTTCCCACAAAAAAGGGGGGGAATGAGTTTTGGGGGGTATTCTAAACCCCCAAAACCAAAACCGTGCCTTTTAGGAAGAGAAAAACTCCCCCAAAACTACTCTTTTGAGATTTATCGAAAGGTTGATAACTTTTTATTTTTTCGATTTCTTCCCAAAACAAAGATAATAATTCGTGTGTGGATTTGGAGCTTCTAGTAGTCGATTTTGAGGACTTTTGGAATCCCAATAGATGAGGTTTGCACCGACATCGATTTGATTTTGATATTTTAAAAACATTATCATATTTGAAAATGGGTTGTAATTTGATTTTACTACAATGTATTATTTTGTGAATCATTTGTTTTTTCTTTTACTTTTTTTTTTTCTTTGAAACATTTATTTTTTCTTTTACTTTTTTTTCTTTGACTTGGAGTATTTTTTCTAGTCTAGACTTCTAGTTTCCTACAATGACATTCGGGATTTCAACCATTTTAATGTCTTACAATCTCTTTAAGACTTGTATTCGTAAATCTATTATGTGATTGTAATATTATGTTTTCGTCTATTTCACGAGGAGTTTGGAGCTCTAATATTGCCCTAAAAACTCCCTAAGGCTTAAAACCCTACCTTAAGAACTCATCTGTTTTTTCTTGTTTTGCTTTTTAGGGAGGGGTTGTTTCAATTTTGGTGAGGACACCTATGCTTTCTTGAACACTAGCATCAACACAAAGTTTGAACATCGGAGGGATGCTCTAGAATCTAAAGGTTTTAAATTAGCCAAATTGAGATAGAGAGCATATGAAATGCAAGTTCAATAATAATGGTAGTAGAGACAAGGAAGTAGTTAAGATTGAGAGCCCAAAAATATCGAAAAGAGCGCATTTTCAATATCTTGGGTCCATAATCCAGGAAAATAGAGAGATTAAAGAAGCTATCACACACAGAATTAGAGATAGATGGGCTAAGTGGAGATGTGCAACCAAAATTTTATGTAATCACCGCATACCAATGAAGCTGAAGGGGAAGTTCTACAAGACAGTTGTGAGACCAGCTTTGCTTTATGGGGCAGAATGTTGGGCAGTCAAAAAACAACATACCCAAAGGATGCGGTTAGCTGAATGAGGATGTTGAGATGGATGAGTAGCAAGACAAGAATGGATAGAATTTGAAATGCATACATTCAGAAGAACTTAGGTGTGGCTCCAATAAGCGATAAGATGAGAGAAAGCAGACTTAGATAGGCTGGCCATGCGCAGCGCAGACCCAATACATTTGGAAGAACTTGGTTCAAGTGGAAGGCTCAAAAAGGCAAAGGGTAGGCCCAAAAAGACATGGTTGGAGGTAGTGAGATAAAATATAGGGACTTATGGCCTCACTGAGGGTATGGCTTTTGATAGAACAGAATGGCAGACTAGGATTCATATAGCCAACCCCAAATAGTTAAGAAAAGGCTCTAATGATGATGATTTGAGATGATGAGATGGAAGAGCTTCTTGGCGGAGTTGGAAGATGTTTATGTGTGGACACAAGGGCATCAATAGGTGGGTATGGAGTTTGTGCAGTCAAGGATGTTTTACAACAAGATCCTTTTACAGATTCTATCAAACAATGATGGCCACTTATCTTGTTCAGAGAGTTGTTTGGCGGGTAGACACTCAGCCCCATGTTTTTTGCTTTTGGGTGGTTTGCATGCCACGTTACTATATTGACAGTTGACCACCTTCAAAGGTGGGGTATGCAGATGCCCAATATGCACATCTAATGTCAAGCGAAGGAGGAAATGGCAAGCCACCTTCTTAAGTTCTTATTCTTTGTAGGTATACTATGAACATATGGGCATATGTTCTCAATATCTTTGGCCTATAATGGGTGACCCCAGCTTCTGTGGAAGACCTTATGCTAAGGAGTGTCTCCATGGTAATCCCCCCTAACAGGTACTTTGGCAGTTGAGCAATGTGGTCATTATTTGGTGCATTTGGAAAGAGCGAAGTGGTCCTTTAAGGGACCAAATGGCGCACGAATTGGTCCTCATGGAGAAGGTTAGGAATAAGGCACTTGCGTGGCTTTCGTTCGACCAGAATTTCAAGGTTTTAATGCATTTGAATTGACAAAGGATTGGAAGGCTTTGGCCTTATTGGGTCTACCATTGCTTCTACCTAGGCCAGTTTGGATTGCTCAAGCGGCATGGTTCTATGAAGCTAACTTTCGATGGACGTTCGCAGGCTAATCCAGGACCAGCAGGTATGGGTGGAATTTGTAGAGATAAAGGTAGGAAGCTTAAAAGCTCATCGCGTGCACTGAGGATATGAGGCTATACATTAGCAGAGGTTTGTACACTGCTTACAGGTCTGTGGTTTTGTCCCTTCCATTTAAGACGTAGATTAGCAATAGAAAGGAATCGTCTCAATGCCATAAGATGGGCCCTTAAAGAATCCTCTATTCCATGGAGGTTGGCTATGACTTTTTGTAAGATCTTTGATATTTGTGACACTAAGAATGTGATTTTTGTGAACATTCTTAGGGGAGCTAACCGAGAGGCTGATACCCATGCCAATGAACAGATTCTTCGAGAATCACTCTATGTCGACACAATCTCAATGTTGGAATCCTAAGATTTTGTCTTCATATCTCTTGTCCTTTGTTTTTTATTCTTTACACTTACATTTTAGTAATGAATATTTTTGTCGATGATAAAAACAAACACATCATGTACACATGCACATACACATATCACAAATTAAAGTGCACGCATATATATGATGCACATATGGCATGCATACAAATTCACAGACATGCATTCCTTCTAAGGGTCCATTCCTTAATCCAGATTCCCACTTGCCTAGCAATCGCAACCCAAAAATCAACTAAAAGCTTCAATCTCATCCCATGAAGATTTGACTAAATGTCCAATCAAATCTTCCAACTGTGCCAATCAAAGAAAGTGCCTTTCCAGAATACTTGGAGAGAAGTGCACCATGATGCTGATACAATGGCAAAAGAAGACATCCTCAAAACCGATCTCTTTGTCTGTAGAACACTATCCCACACTTAGGCTTGTCATACAACCTTTCTGTCTAGACATTAATCCCTTCATTGTATAGATTGTCTGAGTTTCTCTTGTTCAATTTTGTAGACACTATCAGACTAGACAGGTTTGTACACATCCAATTTTGATAGATAAAACAAGTAAATTTCCCAAAAAAATAAAAAGGTAGCAAGCTTCGATATGAAATGAGGTCAATTTCCTAAATTTTGAGTTCTCAATTGGTTGTCCCCTCCCTGATCCAGAATTCCAGATTCTAACATGATCTAGGATTCCAAAGGCCAGAATATGCCATGAGCTTTAAATGGAAATAATGTCTCCTTACCAAATAACATTCATCCCTCCCATGCAAATAACCATGAATCACAAATCTCTGGCCAAGCTAAGATTCTTTTCTCAAAATAAGCTTCTAATCATAGCTCAGATCATGCATTAGTACCTACAAAAGTAGCTGAAAATAATGTCTCAGTCTACATAGACTTCGAACCACTAGTATTCACAAGCAGACTTCCTTTTAGTTACACAATTAAGTCATGGTTAAGTGTAGGGATCGGCAGCATCCAACTAGAGTTGGACCTTATGGAGAAAGAAACTTCAGGCAGGACCATAAAAAGGGATATCATGGTGATCTATAGGTGATCTATACTTCCTAATTGAATCTCAAGGTACTCCGAAAGCAAGCACCTTCAAAGGAAATCTTATTGGAAATACCCATAAGAAAATGTAGATGGAAAAATAAACTCTCCCTTAAATACATAACTTATCTTTATTTGAACTTATTTTGGATTAGTATATGCAGAGCGAGGGACTCTCTCATTCAAGAATTATACCCCCAAAACTCAAATTTTAAGGATTTTATTTTTCAAAGATAACTTATTTGTGTGTTTTTATCATATTGTAATCACAGTAACAGAAAAATGCATCGCACGTGCCTCTTGCAAGTTCAAGGCAAGCACAAATTGAAATACTAAGATCATGAGAACATCGTGACTATATGCCACATCCAGCGTTCAACTAACTTGCATGGAAGAGTAGAAGAATAAAATCTGTCTCACCAGGCACACAACCATAATGGATTGAGTCTGCAATTCGTGCACTATTAACCTGGGAACCGCCTGGACATATGCAGAATTTGGTCCTATAGAATTGCTTTTGATAAACCAGCTCACCAATAGCCCTACTTATGCGATTATTGCTGATTGCAAGCTCTGTATCATTCTCCCAGACACGTGCGAGGATAACTCTTATTCGAGAGTTACGGTGGCCAGCCCAAAAGCCAAGTATTGTCCTATAAAAATAGTATCGAGCACATTAAGGAACTTATCTTCTTCATAAAAGATAACCAAATCATTGGAAAGAAAACAACTTATTAAACACAGCCAATTGTTCAATAATTCTCACAGTAAAATAGTATATAGAAACAAAAAATTTGGAATTATATTTCACCATCATATCAAATTCAAAACAAATGAATTTACAAACATGAACTGAGCAACTTGATAAGTGACACCCTTATAAACATTCCCCGAACTGATCACATTTACTCAACTTCATGGATTCAGGAATTTACGATATGATACAATTGTTTCAAGTTCATCAATTTATGTCAACATATCCGACTCTAGATAGATCATATGTTAGATCCCACCTTGTATCAGTTGGAGTCATAAAAAGACTTTGACATAGCAAGTTTGATTCATCAAGTTGTTCAAAGTATTAACAGACAAACATAGACATGCGTGGCAGAGGGGAAGAGAAAATCAGGAGGGTATGCACAACCCCTCAAAGATCGATCCTACAAATCTGGCATGAGCTGATGAATCATCAGTTGCATTCACTGCTGGAGATGTGATAGATTTCTCTGACACCTAGTCAAGGGCATCCCATCTTGTCACCACATGCTTTTGCCAGTTGGCTATCCTCATTAGTATCTTGTTTAACAAGCAGACACGTCAACTAGGATCTTCCTAATGGATCAACTTCGACATAGAGAGATTAAAACCCCAAACAGTTGCTTCAAGGGTAGCAATTCTGAGGAGCACTGCATAATCTTCTACCGTGTATTTCCTTTGCAAGCATGTCCCAACTCCTTGTCACATCCTTTGGCCAGTTTGCTATCCTCATTAGGATCTATTCTGAACAAGTATAGACTCCAGCTAGGATCTTTATAATGAGTCAACTTCTGAAGGATTCAAACCCTAAATAGTTGCTTCAAGTGTAGCGAATCTGAGGAGATGTAAATACTCTTCTCCTGCTTTTTTTTGCTTCGTCTTTTTTTTGTTTGAGTAGGATTCAGACTTCAGACTAATTTCCTGAACCCCTTTAACTTGTGTTTCATACCAAAGTCCCAATGTTTGTTTCAAAGAAGGATGATTGCTTTGGAAAATCTGCTGCCAATTTTTAGTGCATTGGAAGATAAAGAAGCAAGAGAATGGCTCAAGAGGAAGGATTTTTGCAGCAAGGGCAGAGTTTGAAAAGGTTCTGAAGAAAGAGATCTTTTGAGCACAGTGATAACACATAAAATGGCTCAAAGGGCGGTGACTAAAACAGCTACTTTTTTCCATAAAACTGTGAATTGCCGAAAAACGGATAACACCATCACTAGCATCAGATCCAGTGGCAGGCTTTTTGAAGAAAAATCTGAGGTGAAGAATGCATCTATTTTCTCAAGAAACTATTCAATGCAAAGAAATGCCAAAAGGCCCAAGACCCCAAATCGATAATATCCATTTTGATAGACATTCGACAGAAAGGTGAAAAATATCTATCTTCAATTTGGAACAAAACAGGCTCAGGGTAGGATGGTTACGCGATGGCCTTTAATCAAGCCTCTTTGATATTACAATTGATGATCTGATGCAAGTTTTCTCTGAGTTCTACTGTAGAAGCATAATCTATAAGGGGATGAATGCTACTTTACTACATTAATCCCAAATAAAGATGGCGCTGAATATATTGGAGACTTTTGGCCACTCGGTCACAAGTATCAACCATAAGATTTTGGCTGAAATGCTTGCCTCAAAACTTAGATAAAAGTGGCCGTCTCCCCCCCCCACACACAGTGCCCAATGTAGCTTTGGTAGCAGAGTGCATTGACCAAAGATATTGAATAGGTTTCCAGGGCTCATTTGCAAGTTGGATCTAGAAAAAGCACATGATCATGTTGATGGGTCAGTCTTAGATCAACCATGTCTTACATGGGTTTTGGCAATAACTGGCATTCTCGAATCATCACCTGTATCTCCTCTGCAAGATTATCAATCTCCCTCAATGGAAGTCCTTGTGGATTCTTCCCATGCTTTAGGGGTCTACACTAAAGTGACCCACTCTCACCCCCCCATTCTCAATAGGGGCGGCTATTTTCAGTAGAATGCTTTCTCTAGTGCACATTGCTGGCCTTATTCAGGAGTGCAAAGACAGCTCCAATGGACTTCTGATTTTTAATCTCCAGAATGCTGATGACAAATTGACAACCTTTGGCCCAAATCACCGGCAGAATGACAATTTTTTGTTCCTTTTGAGATGCTTCGAGTTCATCTACAAACTTCAGGAAGATATTAACAAGACAAAACTGCCAGCAAACCATAGCATGTCCCCAAAATCGTAAAAAAAGCTATAGCCACCAGTATTTCAAAAAGTAGACCAGCCAAGGTGCCAAAAATAGGCAGAAATCCCTGAGCGCCCACCTAGGCGCCCAAGAACCCACCTAGGCGGCCGCCTAGCGCCTAGACCTAGGCAGCCTCCCAGGGACTCCGCCCCCCTCAGAGGCAGAAAACTGTTTTGGCAAGAGCATTTTTTATCCTTTTTCTTAAACTAAAGGGCCAAATTTCTTGTTTTTAGGTTTATTTGTAACCTAAAACATATTAGAGACCATTTTAGAGAGAGAAAAACCCACAAAAAAACCATTTTTTGGTGATTTCTTTAAGATCGAAGGGTTTCTCAAAGTTATGAGAAATTGATCAAAACATCACCCATTGATATTAGATTTAATTTGTGATGCTTTATAAATCTATTGGAGGGTGGAAGTTTGGAGATTGAGCAATCAAAATAAGTGATTTTTTTTATTGCTTGTATAAGTTGTATTATTTTGAGATCTCTAATAAGAGTTGTGATCCCGGTTGGAAATATGGCTACAACCCAGATCCTAATGATAAAAATTGCATAAGATGCAAGTTTTGTGAGAAGAATACAAAACGGGGTATAAACCGGTTCAAGAAACATCTTGCCAATATCAGGGGGCTGTTGCCCCATGTAAAAAGACTCCTAATGTTGTTAAAGAAGAAATTACCAATTTTTTGAGTATAGTAAAAATGAAAAAAAGAAAGAGAAAATTTGCCTCCATAGCAGAGATTAGGTCTAGGGTTCGGGTCAGTTATATGATGATGATAGTGATGAGGATGGGGAGGGATGTCAAGAGGTAGAACAATCCATTATTAGGGGGAAAGGTAAATGAGTTATAATTGCTTATGGTTCTGGGAGTAAGAAGCCTCGAGTTAGAGGCCCTATGGATAGTTTTTTGCCCCGGCCTTACCCTAAGGTTGCAGGAGAGAAAACAAAGAAGCAAACCACCATTGAAAATAGAATAAAGAAGGAAGAGAGAGATAGAGCTCCTTTTTTTATTGCCACATGGTTTTATGAGGCGAGCATTCCTTTCAATACCGCTCTCCTAAGCAGCTTCTATGCTTTGGTAGAGGCAATTGACCGATTTGGACCTAGGATGAAACCCCCAACCCCATATGAGCTTTCAGAGCCTCTTTTGAAAAGAGCAATGAGTGACACAAAGGATGTTCTAGAAGTTAAGAAGGATGCATGGGCAAAGTATGGAGTTTCTATTATGACTTATGCTTGGAGTAATAGTTAGAGAAGAAGTGTGTAGATGTGCTAGTCCCTGATCCGGATATCCAAGATATTATATGTGTAATTAGATGTGGTAATTTGATTGCTAATTTTAAGTTATAATTGGATATGGAGTTATGGACCGACTTAAGGTTATGCTTATGGAGTGTGTGCTAATATGTAGTATACTTTTGAATTTTGATGTGCTCTAAATACAGTCGTGGGAGGCAAGGCACACAGGGGATAGG